CTTACATGAGTAGATAACGGGTAAGAACCCATTGAGACCAGAAGGCTCTCTCAAGGCGGTTCATGGCACTGAGGTGGCCAGGAGATGACGGCCCAACATTGGATTCTCAAATTGTCCAGGGTGTTTCAAAGACGTGGACCCGATTTGAAATCTCTATATCTTTGAAATTGGGTCCATCTTTTTGAAACACCCTGTATATCCGGAGACACCTTTGATAGCTACCCCCATGTGTTCTCGTCCATGCCAAGCGCACACCGGTGGCCAGGTATCCCGTTACATCGCCCTGCTGCTCCGCGAGGTTTCCGAGTGTAAAAGTGTTCTTTGAGAAGGCGTGATCTGAATCTGGCCAGCGATGTAAAGCAGTTTTTTTTTTATATATCGAGTAAACTGATACACGCACACTTCGGGTACAAGCACAGCTGCCCATGCTCCCGAAGGGCGCGCTTGCGTCCAGTTTCTACCGATTGCCTTCACTTGTCAACTTTGGCATCTGAGCCACACTGCAATGGGAGATGACGTTTTGAGCAATGGGCCTTGTTCATCGCAGTTAATATTACCATGCAAACGTAACAAGTCACCCCCCCTTCCACCCCCCCATTTCTCGAAACGTCTTCCATAATGTATGCTCTCCTCTTTGGGCAGTTTTACTGACCATTGTGTTGAGTTTATTTACCCTCTCCCCCACACCCCGTTGCGATCGAACGCTGAAAATAAGTAATGGCGAGGCGTGAAGGCTGCGCGCTGCGGTCACTCGTGGTTGTGTTAAATTATCCGTGGCGAGGAGCGCAGCTTCCAAGCCCATACCCCCGGGGTCCCCTGCCGCACTCACCAGCATCTGCCCGCGTTCTCAGTCCACAGTTGCAACACGAGAGCCCCCGAGTGGGGGGCCGAGAGGATGCGGGTAGCGAGGATGAGAGACGCGGGGGTGGGTGGTGGTGTTTGATTGATGTGGTCGCCGTGAACCCGGTGTCCCGCGGTCACGCGACGCGCGCTTGCTCATTAACTTGTGCGCGTTGTGCAGCGCATCCCGGACCCCGTCCACTCGGCCAAGTTGTAACTCGGCAGAGTCGGTGACCGAGCTTGGAGCCTTTCGCGATGGGGCTGCCCGGAGCTTTGATATCCCCTTGATGGATTTCTCATGTTCACGTGGCTCGATTGGCCGTCACACATAGCAGGATCTGAGAAGAACTTCAGCCAGCAGTGGAGCGATCATGGAAATATGTTGAACTTCTTTTGCACTGTACGTAGCTAACCGTGTTGATCAGAGGTGCGGGGGAAGTACAATCTAAACAAAAGCAGTTAAATTTTGATTTAAAGCTTTCGTGACTGCAGGGATTCATATTCTTGGTTCTTTCGGTAAAGTCACGAAGAAGGAAATAATAAAATTATATAAATATAAAACAATAAAATTCTCACGACGTTTCGACTGCAACACAAGCAATCATTATCAGGTGTGAAATCCACAGCAACTGTGTTGCAGTCAAAACGTCGTGAGAATGTTTATTGTTTTATATTTATATAATTTTATTATTTCCCTTCTTCGTGACTTTACCGAAAGAACCAAGAATACAAAAAGCAGTTATGAAGAAATGAATCGAGATTTAGATTTAACAGTCCATAGCTCCAGTGGATTCCTCATTTCGGAAGGACGAGCGTTCCGAATGGCCACAGGAGCGCCACCATCGTGCCCGTGGGCTGTGAGCACTCGTGTCTGATGGTGGTGGATTCTAAGTGCTGTGTGCAATGTGAGATGATGACGATAATGGGGGCTTGGACGATGATTATAATGATAATAATTTAAATTGCATGATATTACTGTTGGATGACAATGGTATTGCGTGGGCGGTCAATGGTGCCGGTCAACAGTGGTATTGGTGAAAAATCTAGACGATGTCGCTTCGACCGTGGTGTTGATTAAAGGCAGTGCTTCACGCTCTTGACAGACAGTGCATGCAACGTCGGTTGGATCTTTGTGTGGGTGACCAATTCTTCTTCTTTCGTTTGGCACTGTGAAAAGCAACAGTTCTTATTTTTTCTTAATGATCGTCATAAATTCATGCAAAGGTTCCCCATCCAGTCCAACAATGTGGTTGACGCAGCGTGGATTTGAGCGTTGCCGCCAGGATGATGCATGGATGGAGCATTCATCGGTGAACGCTGCGGGTGGTCAATTATGTAGGTGGACGGTTGTTTCGGTGGACATTTTTTTTTTACGTGGAGAATTCTTTAGGTGGACAATCGTGGAGGGCATCACCGGTGCCGGTGGACAAAGCGCAATGAGATGGCTCCGCACGGCACTCGGGTTGACCACGTCGGCCGCGCCAGGCAGACAGCAGCGGGTATTCTAATGAGGCCGCTCCCCCTCATCGTTCTCGCTCGAGGCAACTTGCAGAAGAAGGGAGGCCAGAGAGGCGTTTTTGTGTAACCCTTCCGCCCATTGTGCGCTGTTGTCGGGCGTGTGCGAAAGCGCCCAGCGCGATCACCCAGCCCAGCAATGGTTGTGTCCTCCACAATGGGCAGCAATGGGGGCGGGGGGATGATGATAATGATAATCGTCATCTATCAAAGTCGTTCTTGTCATCATTACGATCGTTCAAGCATAATCATATCGTGCATTTCAGTCACGGTGATACGGTTTTTAAATATGATACAGTATACTAAATTGTAAATCGAAATCATCCCGTTGTGTAACATGGTAGACTTAAAACACAAAAAGATGCGCATTGCGTGTACAACAGCACTGGGCTTCATCACGTTATTCTCATATTTGAGCACAACTGGTAGTAATACACACAGTGATGCTATGACCCGAATTACCAAATAACTTATAAGATTTCTCTTAGCGCTACAGTCTTACACTTCAACTGTTATAAAGCAGTACACTGTAAGTCCCCGTTTAACGCGGTAGATGCGTTCCTGAGAAGTGTCGCGTGAAACGAAAACACATTAAGCGAAAACAATTCCCCCATAAAAAATGCAACAATAACGTTTGACAGGATATGATGTACGCACACGCAGTGAGATGGCGGGACAAATAACTGAGGGTACGCCATCGCGTTACTAGATAATTTTGCGTACGTTATCATTCCGCTCAGCCGTGCAGCTCAAGTACATAGTTGGTCGTCGACTGCTCAGAAACCGCGTTATAACGGGCACGTTCCGCGTTATAATGGGCACGTTCCGTGTTATGACGGGCGCGTTCTGCGTTTTGCCGAAAGTGTTCCCTAAAGTAATATCGCGCTATAGTGAAAACGCGTTGTGTGAATACGAATTAAACCAGGTCTTACGGTATATACGCTTTTTTGGCGAGATGGTGGGAGGGTGGAGGGGAGGGGGCTAAAAAAATCCGATGCCCGGCCTGGCTGCAGCCTCTACGGCCGCTGCTGCGTTAATCCGGCCCCGGTCATCGCGGCGAGCGAACACCCAGGGGGGGGGGGGGGGGGGATACCGAGAGACGAGGTTTGGTCTGTGCGGCGACAGTGCGCCTGTGCAGTCAGGCTGCTGGGATGCATTTGCTGAAATTACGATTTTCGAAGCCAAGTCTGCTCGCTAATCTCGTCGCTTAGGGCTGTCTGAGTAGCCCGTCACTCACGTTGTAGACATCGGGTTCTATATAACACTAATTATATATAACACTGATTATATATAACACTGGTTATTTCTAACACGAATTATATATACCACTGATTATTTCTAACACTGATTATATATAACACTGATTATTTCTAACACTGATTATATATAATACTGGCTATTTCTAACACTGATTATATATAACACTGATTATATATAACACTGAGTCTCCAGACTCGTTTTTTTATCAATTCCTAGAGGGCCCTGCCTTAAGTTGTGTAGCCCATGTTTTAATATTGTTCACGTGGGCAGATAAATAGTAGCGCACCACCTATACGAACCTACTTGCTGTACTGCCAGGAGTGTAGCGTGGTGGTGGACATGGGCCCCCGGTATAGGACAATCAATGGGGGCTTCCTGTGCAATGTATCGACCCCTCTTTATAACCCTGCACTGGCACCCTCCGCGTGTCCCAGCGGTGCAGTGTCACCGTCTGCACACTCAACAGCGACGCCGCGGCGAGCGACCATCTGGCCACTTTGCAGCCCAGCGGGTTTGAGAAGCGTTCATACATCGCTACGTGATCCACAAACCCTTTAGGCAACCACGCCCGGCATGCATTATTGAGCGCGTGCTCTCATTCTGGTACATCTCGCATTGGTGAGCCGCACAGCCAATTGCGATCTCTAGCGAGCATGGCTGCGCTCGCAGCTGCCCACAGTGCCGACAGCTGGGTGCTGGGAAGGGCTACATCGCAATCAAAGACAAAGACCCCCCCCCTCCCATTTAGCCTTTAACATACTGTTAGGGCAAGTGCTGTAAGTGAGCACCTATGAGGACGGACACGGCACACGAGGGGGTGGGTGACCAACACCACGCACTGACGCCTTTGCCTCCCAGGTGGCGATATTTACACATCGCACGACGTATTAATTTGAGGCTGAGTCGACCTAGGGTAGGCTCGAGACCGGTTCAGATAATCGTCACTGGGTGTTGGCCGTGTGTGGGAATCGAACTCGGGTCGCCAGGTTTCGTAGCGCAGCGCGCTAACCGTCGCATCACCGCTCCCATACATCAGCAGGAAACAACGATTCCCCGAATAGTCTCAATCGACCCTTGGGGCAAGCGCTGTTAGCGAGCGCCTATTAAGGGCCAGAACGGCGCACGAGGGGGCGGGGGGGGGGGCTGCACCACGCCCGGCCGCCTTTGTCCCCGAGTGGCGATGTCTCCACGCCGCGCCAGGTACTCATTTGACCTCGGAGAAAAACCAGGACCGGTTCAGACATTTCATCACCATCACCACCCCCACCATCATCACACGTTCGTGGAGACAGGGAGGCAGGGAGGGTTGGTGGTCCCGCCAATGAGGGAGACGCTGCCGGTGCGACTCGCGCCGCCCTCCCAGACCGGGGCTACATAAGCAGCCGGTGTCGCACTGCGCCAGATGAACCCAGCGCTCACAGACGCTCATTGCGGCATCTAGTGAGGCAGCAGTGGTAGCGGGTCCAGAGGCGTGACGCCCGCTATTCGCTCTCTCTCTCTCGCTCTCTCTCGCGCTCTCCCACAGCCACTCGCTCCCCCCTTTGTTCTCGTGGCCGTTGAAGAAAGAAGAAAGAAGGCAACGCAACAATGGTGAAGTTCGAGGCTTTCCGTTGTCTTCCGTGGTTTTCTTTGTGTCGATGCTCGGCGCGCATCTCGGTTTGACTGCGAAGCGGAGTGTGGAGTTGGTTTTTTTTATTTGACGTGACGACGGCGGCGGCGGCGGCGAGGATGATGATTGAGTGGCGTTCGATCAGGCGGCAAGTGTTGCTGTCGGAATGAGAGGAGAGGATAGAGCGGTTGATGACGGTGGCTCTCGTTCGGATGGGATGAACGCAAATGAGGGGCGGTCGAGCATGGAATGACAGACGGCGGAGATGACGATGCTGTTGATCATGTTGATAACTTAGCTTCTTTTATTTGACAGGTGTTGGTTTCAAAATGAGCGTCCATAAAATGATGCTGATGATGATGATTAGGGGACGGTGTAATAAGCTCACGATTCTTATCACCGGCAGTGGGTACTGGGGACACAATGGGACACCGTGGCAGTGGCGATGATCGTTTTCACTCGTAGGGCAGGAGCAGCCCGGCCTAAAGCCATCTCCGTCATCGGTCTTAGCAGTTCGCTTCCCGTTGAGTGTAGCGCTCACGCCGTTATACATCGTGGCAGGCCAGCTACCGGTGGCTAATGCAATGTTAGTGTATGTCGGTCAAAGTGCCACCTATGCGTATCGTCTCATGTGTGCTCTAAGGTGGACACCAACGTCTCTACAATGCCTTCTCCTCTCTGCCGACTCTATACAACTCAACTAAAACTATGTTTTATTTAACCATTCATGGGTGTCCTCTGATCTACACAGCCCTTTTTCAGAAATAATCTGGCCACAAATGATAGCTCAACGAAATGGCTTATCAGGTGAGAAATTTAGACCAGCCAAATACTCTAAACGCACGATTCTAAATGTGGAAGAGGGGAAACCCCGAAGGACTCGGAGAAAAGTCCACGCGACCAAGAGGAGAACACGCAGACTCCAAATATGCAGCAGCAGACGTCAGGTTCGGGATCGAACCCACGACCTCCTACACACACCAGACGAGGTAGTTAACATCTCGCCACCGTGGCACCCTCTCGCCATCTCCTCCACTTCTAACACATCTCATTCACACCCCCCCCTCCCCTGCTTCCCACAGCGTGAGTGCATCTCCATCCACGTGGGCCAGGCCGGGGTGCAGATCGGCAACGCCTGCTGGGAGCTCTACTGCCTGGAGCACGGCATCCAGCCCGACGGGCAGATGCCCAGCGAGAAGACGATCGGAGGGGGGGACGACTCGTTCAACACCTTCTTCAGCGAGACGGGCGCCGGCAAACACGTGCCCCGAGCCGTGTTCGTGGACCTGGAGCCCACGGTGGTCGGTGCGTGAGCGGCTGCACCCAAAAACACACATATGCTACGCGTATTTCAATCAGCTACTACAAATTTATGGGTGGCTGGGGGGGAGGGGCACCACCACGCCCTGGAGCGTGCGTGCTGTGAATCTCGGTGGTTTGTAAAGAAAGGCCAAGCTCATTGACGTTTTTTTTGCAGAGTGCACCCATGCAGCAGACAGCCACGCCTTGTCGGGGCATTGCATCGTAAAGTCGACCCATTTATGTAGCGCGAAGCTCGGTGACGATTTGCAGAGGGCACCCATGAATGAAAAAGCCACGCCCTGGAGCATTTGTCAGAGTGCACCCAGCGATTATATCGCCAAGCCTGGTGTGACATTTGTAGAGAGTTATCCAGTAATAAGGGGCCAAACTTCGTAGCGATTTTCAGTGAACCCAGGGGTTTGGAGGAGATTGAGCCCGATTGACATTTTGAAGAGTTTATCGATTTATTAGACATTCACGTCCAGTGCCGTACTTCAGAGGGTACCCATTGACATATATATATATCACCAAGCCTGACAACCGGTTGCAGGCAGGGCCGGATTAAGGCTTTAGGGGCTTCAGGGGCTGTAGCCCACGGGCCTCCGCCAGCTGGAGGTCCTCCAGAGATGAAGTGAAACGTTATTTCATTCGTGAATGCCGAATTTTATTTGTTGTTAGCCTTGTAAAAGTTAATTTTATTTTTCTTTAACTTTGTTTTCCTTCTGAAAATATTACTGGGGGCCTCACAGTACATGTAGCCCAAGGGCCTACAACATCTTAATCCGGTAAAGTCACGTAGGTAAAAAATTGAAATAAAAATTAATAAAAATAAAATAAAAATCACGACGTTTCGGAGGCGACACAAGTCTCCGTCATTAGGTGGGACCGTCACAGCCAGATTTGCTGCATCTTGAGAGACTGAGACTTGTGTTGCCTCCGAAACGTCGTGATTTTTAATTTATTTTTACTAATTTTAATTTCATATTTTTGCCTACGTGACTTTATCGAAAGAACTAAGAGTATGAATCCTTGCAGCCACGAAAGCTTCAAATCTAGAATCTTAATCCGGCCCTGGTTGCAGGGTGAACCCAGAGATGCCCAACGTCGTAGCGTTTTGTACCTAAAAACAGAGTCAAGAGGACGTCTGTGAAAAAAAGAGGTTTACAACTCACCGGATTCCTTCAGTATAAATACACGTTCTGATCGGAGTCGTTCCTGTAATATTTTAAACAAGTGCACCCACACAAAAGAAAATCCTCCACGCCCAAGAACATGCGGAGAAATATAAAATAGCCACGCCCAGTCGAACGCGATTGGATGAGGCCCGCGAGGTTGTGCGTTTGGAACATGGCTCCTCCCACGGTTTTGGGTGCACTTTGCAAATTGTAAATGTGACAAGAAAGCCGACACATTAATATCTACAATCATATGTATGATGCAACGTGTACAGCGTGTATAGCACGTTGTGTGTGACAATATACAAGTCGTTCACCTGTAAATTCCTCGTGTGTCTGTATCTAACCGGTTCACAGTTGAATCCACCGCTTTAAGACGACCGGTTCTGTAATGGTAAACATGCATTAGCAAGGTTTAATTATGTCTTTTGGTAGACATTGTTAAAATGCAGGATGTTCTTTCGCTATTTGTGATTGGTGTGTCTTTGTACATGACCCGGGCCTCTCCTAAGTTGACTCGGCCTCAAATGCGCATGGAATGGTCTTTGTGTAAATATCGGCATTGGGGGGATACAAAGACGATCTGGAATGATGCTGCCACACCACACCCTCATGCATGTGTCAAGCCAGCTCGCTAATGGCACTTGATCTTACAGCATGTTGAAGGCTATATGGGGGATCTTTGTGAGAAGTGGTGGCGCAGTGGCAAGCACAATGCTCACGACATACACCGGTGACGAATATCTGAACCAGCACTGCGTCTCCCCTAGGTCGACTCAGCCTCATATGAGTACCTGGTGCGGTGTGTAAACATCGCCAAGAGGGAGACAAAGGTGGCCGGGCGTGGTGTTGCCAACCCACCCTCTCTTGTGCCGTGCCGGCGTTTATAGGTGCTACTCGCTAACAGCACTTTCCCCATTAGTCTCTCTTTGACGTGTTCCTGCATGTTGCGTACGGGTGTATATCTGGGCGTCCACCGGCGCAATGGTTCTATGGCGAACTTCTTCCGCACCGTACGTAGCCAACCATGCTGATCGGAGGTGTTGCGTGTGTGTGCACGTGTTCCTCCTGCACGCGTGCACGTGTCCATGCGTGCGTGCGTGTGCAGCACAGTCTGCTAAGGCTTTACGGGGGGGGGGGGGGGTGTCTTTGTGGTGTACAGACGAGGTGCGCACGGGCACGTACCGCCAGCTGTTCCACCCCGAGCAGCTGATCACGGGCAAGGAGGATGCGGCCAACAACTACGCGCGCGGCCACTACACCATCGGCAAGGAGATCGTCGACCTGGTGGTGGACCGCATCCGCAAGCTGGTGAGCGGGAGCCGCACCATGTAGCGGGGGGGGGGGGGGGGGCAGGACAGGGGTGGTTGGTGGACCGGCGAAGAGTTGTACACCTGCCAAACCCGCCGGGCTGCAAAGTGGCCTTGGCGTGGCCAAGCGACGATCTGGCCGATTTCTCGTCGTAAGACGCCTCCGCCACCCGACAAACGCACTGAATTGTCGCGTGTGGCGGTGCCGATTGTGTAACCTCTCATGCAGCCGCGTGGGATGTTTGCACACAGTCGCCCGGATCCTGTTTGCACGTCTTCCGTCCGTCGTTTGAGCTTCCATCTACGTTGTGAGCAGCACATTTACTCATTGGGGATGAGGGGGGGGGCTGGAGCAGTTTTGTCTACGCATTGCGCTGTGAATCTCGCAACCCGTCTTTGATTGCTCGCCACAGCTGTAACATAAGTGGCAAGCGTAATCCGAACCAGTTATGGGCCCCTCCATCACTAACTCTCGCTGAGCGGCGCGGTGAGTAATGGTCAAACAATCCCCCCGTGACTGACACGCTGTGGGGAGGCTTTCATCCAGCAGTGAACATTTGTGGAAAATGAGCTTTATAGCTCATCGGATTCCTCCAGTGTAAATAAATATTCTGATTCAGTATATTGACGGTGGGCTGTACGGTTTGTAAAAATTCGCAAAGGTGCGCATTCATATCCCCCGAGTGAGCTGCTCCTGGAAAAAGCGGACGCTTAAAATTCCACATTTCCCCGAGTGCACACAATCCCTCGCCAGATGCCGAGACACATCGGAGCCGTCCGCAGGAACTCATCGCTGGCTCAGCACAGATGGATGAGATGAAGCGAGTGATGTCCTGCAGCGAATGCACGGAACACAGCTGACGCTACAATGTCTGGAATGTGGGGGAGGGGGCAGGGGGGGTAATCGCATTGGGGGCTTCGTGACTGATGTCCCAACAAAGGGGTTCAGTGTCCTTCCTGCACCCCTTCGCAGCTGAACGCAGCTAAGCAAGAATTCAGGCACATAGGCACGTGATGTTTTTAGAGCGCGCTAAATTAAAACATACGAACACAAGAATAATTAGAAACGAGAAGGGGCCCATTCGGTCAATCTAGGCTCGTTCGTTTGCGAATAGCAGATCGATTCTGGAATCTCATCGAGGGGTTTCTTGAAGAATCCCGGTTAATTAGCGTCCAGGCCGTGTTTGGGCAGCTTGTTACACACCCCCCCACCCACCCACAATTCTGCGTGTAAAACACAATCGCCTGCCGGACGTGGTTCCTGAACTTTCCCGCCGGGCAGCTGCCCCCCTTCGGTCTCTGGTTTCTCGTCTCTGACGTTGAGCTCAATCCACTGGTCTGGATCGACTTGGGTCAATAATATTTACGATTTTGTAGACCAGGAATTAATGACCTAACATGCTCAAATGTACCCAAGGGGTAGGCGTTTACCGAAGTATTTACTGGACGTTGGTCTGTAACTTTGTCGAATCGTTACACGGTTTTACAGAGAACTAGCTGTACTACCCGGCTTCGCCCGGGACTTGTATCCACCACGGCCGGCCGCCTTTGTCTCCCCAGTGGCGATGTTAATACGCCACAGCAGTTACTCGTTTGAGGCAGAGTCGACATAGGGGAGGTTCAAATAATCGTCACCGGTGGTGGCCGTGAGCGGGAATCGAACTGGGTTCGCCGGGTTGGTAGCGCAGCGTAGCGTTAAGCACTACACCCACCGCTCCTCACACACCACACACGCACAGACACACACACAGACACACGCAGACACACACAGACAGACACACACACAGACACACAGACAGCACGCTAACCACTACACTACCGCTCCCCACACACCACACACGCACACACACAGACACACACACAGACACACACACACAGACACAGACAGCACGCTAACCACTACACTACCGTTCCCCCTACACAACACACGCGCGCGCGTCCATAGGTACACATACACGCGCTTGCTGCAGACACACATATACACACACATACATACACGCAGACACACACATACACACAAACACACATACATACACACAAACACATACACAGTGACATGCGTATTCCCATCGCGGGGCACGGGACGTGCCTCCCGGCAAATCCCTCGCAAGTGATCGTACACAGATGGACAGACAACTGAACAGTACGACGTTTGGCTGGTAATTGCATCCAGCATCAGCGAAAGGACGTACTCTGAAATGGGAATTGTTGTGGTTTTACGCTTGTACACACCGGTGGGCCAAAGCAGAGACTTATGAGTGTTTTATCAACGGGACACTTTTTGACTGATTGGCCGTGTGGGGTGGTGGAGGGTTACAACACATTAATAATTAAGGCGAGCGAAAGGCAATAAAGTTATTTTTGAAGAATGGTTGCGAAAGCGTACGTGTTACAAAAAGACTCACTTTACTTAAGAAGCAGGCTAATGTGTACATGATAGACTGTCAGTACAGCCACCCAGAAATATAACCAGGCTACACTGTACATTCTAGAGTGGCAGTACGCTCAGCCAGCTTAATGAGTATTTGTTGAGTGAACATTTAAACAAATACATTATTGGCACGTGTGGTTTAAACATAATTATACAGTAGTTTTTTCATGAGAAATGGTAATTGTTGTGGTTTTCCGCTTGAACACACCGGTGGGCTAAAGCAGTCAAGTCTTAGTCTTTTATGAACGTGACAATTTTGTGCAGATTGGGCGTGTCGGGTGGTGGATAAGGGTGACAACACCTTAATAAATAAGGCGATCTAAACGCAATAACGTTGTTTATGAATAATGTTTGCGAAAGCGTACGTGTTACAAATTGACTAACTTTACTTCCTAACCAGGCTAATGTGTACATGATAGACTGGCAGTACACCCAGCCAGCTGAATAAGCAGGCAGCAGTCTACATAATAGACGGGCAGTACGCTAAAGCAGCTTCATGACTATTTGTACAAAGAACATTTAAAGAATCGATTATAATAACCAGGCTACAGTCTACATTATAGACTGCCAGTACACCCACTCAGCTTCATAAGCAGGCTAGAGTCTACATGATAGAGTGGCAGTACGCTGACAGAGCTTAATAAGCAGGCTACAGTGTACATAATAGACTGTCAGTACGCTCACCCAGCTTAATGAGTATTTGTACAGTGAACATGAAAGTAATCGATAGTTGGCGCGTTGGGTTTAAAAGTAATATTAATAGCACACATTGTGGTGGGGGTGTAGTGAAGAGTAGGAAAAACTTTGATGAATTTACCTCAGAGTGGCGTGGTGGGTGTCGGGGCCTAGTAGCGTGCAAAGCCTGCGGCCTCGCCTAAAATTGTCGACTTGGAAGAGGCAGGGTACGGGTGGCGTTCCTCCCCCCCCCCCCTAGCGCGCCAACAACACTGTGTAATGGCTGTTATTTAATTAATTACGGAGCTTATGAAAGTGGCAAAGGCGTGGCTAGCGGTTGGCAGGGGCAACCGCCGTCCAATGAAACTGCAGCCCTTGGCGAAGGCGTCGCTAGCCGTTGTCAGGTCCAATGAAAGCGGCGAAGGCGTCGCTAGCCGTTGCCAGGGGCAACCGCCGTCCAATGAAAGTGCGTATGTTCCGGAGACACACAGACACACAGACAGACAGACAGATTCACGATTTTATATATATAGATTATACACATAGAGCCACGGTCTATGCCCATAGAGTCCTTTATGCATTATTTTAACCAAATGTGTTTTTGGCTTAAATACAAAATTAAAATAGGCACAATAGTTTGTTATATCATGGGGGGGAGGGCGTTGACAATGCTTTTGTGAAGCCCTCTTCGTGTAAAATGGACGAATTGTACGGCCTTACCATTGTCTGTCCTCGTGAAGTTTCGCGAAAACCATGGTGTACACCAATAAAAACCACTCGCGCAGAACACACTCACAGTCAAATCATTGTGGTTGTCGATTGACAAACCCAGCCCCCGTGTAACGCTTCCTCTTATATCCGTACACTCTTAACCGTAACCACACAATAAGGGGGTTGACAGGTACATTCTGTCCCCTTGCAGGGAAGTGTGTGCGTGTGCGTGCCAAGTAGCCATGGAAATGTGTGTGTGTGCGTGCAGACTCCACACCGCTGACACAGTCGCCGCCGACGCTGCAGCGATGTGGTACAACAATGAGAGTGAACTGTGACGGAATCATCGATCTTGCTGATATTGCCCAATCAAAGGAAGGGGGCGCGTCACACCATTGCTCGATCCATTGATCTATTGGCGATGAATCGACCCAGCGATTAACCCGCAAATTACGATTAATCCGGTACTGTATTGTTGATTTTTGTTTACTATGGATCGACTGTGATCGGAATAAGTACAATTACTCTCGATTAACAATCCACAATACCATATATGGGCAAAGACACGCCCCTACCGCCAAAGCCACGCCCACTTTTCCCCATATATGGGCAAATCTCTGATCGGTGATTTTGTCGGGCGAACGCTTTTATGGTATTGCAACGCGCGCTGCTTGACGTCGCTATGTGACGGCCGCTGCGCAAATGGGACAGCCGATCACGTCACATGACACTGCCCGGGATCGAGAGCTTCCTGCGGCGTTGTCGTGTCTACGAACCGATCTGGAGAATGGCCGCGATGGTTCAGCGGACGTCGATTAGGAAAAGGCATTTGTGTGTGCGCAGAATGTCACAGCTCGCTCGCTCGCTCGCTCTTGGTTTACGTTGCTGCGAGTTCTCCCTCGAGCGGTGCGATTCTCGGTCGCACGCGGCGTCCGCTTGTGCTTTCCGCTTGCGACGCGTGCATCGCGCACTTTACACGCGGCTTTTGGCGAACTGAACTTGGTGATGAAAAGCAGCGTGCGCCGGTTGAACGAAGAACGTTTTCAATTGCTCCGCGCAGCCTGCGAGTGACATGTGGATCGGACGTCGTGGACGCGGGCAAAGAGCATGCGACAGAAGCTGAAATGTTGCTCGAATACGCTTGAAGATGTGCGCACGCTTGGAGGAACACGTGGATCAGAGAATAAATGCATGTGAGAGACATCATACTGACTCTTAGTGAAAGGGGCTTGAGCAAGATGCTTCGATTTAAAAACAAATTTTGATTGAAAACTCATTTCTTTAGAACTGCTCTTTGTGTTTAGTTTGTTGTCCTTCTCCTGCATCTCCGATTAGCATGGTTGGCTACGTACGGTGCGAAATATGTTCGACATTCATACATAGAAGGGATGATGGCCATTGGTCGAGACTGGTGGCAAGGGATGGAACGTGACCTAGAGCTTCAGGAATGAAATGGAATGTGGCCTTACATTATTGTGTAGGATGTCAACGACTTGAGAGGGTGGTTGACCTGCACTAAATAGATGATGACCAATGATGATCATGTCTATAAGAGTGAAAGTGGTTGAAAATCCCAAACGTGTTTGACTTTCTTGTCCTCTGCCTGGTTTTGTTTGTGTGCATGCGTGCACTCGTGATGCAGGCGGACCAGTGCACAGGGCTGCAGGGATTCCTGATTTTCCACAGCTTTGGGGGCGGCACGGGCTCGGGCTTCACGTCACTGCTCATGGAGCGCCTCTCCGTCGACTACGGCAAGAAGTCCAAGCTGGAGTTCTCCATCTACCCGGCGCCACAGGTGTCCACCGCCGTGGTGGAGCCCTACAACTCCATCCTCACCACCCACACCACCCTGGAGCACTCGGACTGCGCCTTCATGGTGGACAACGAGGCCATCTACGACATCTGCCGCCGCAACCTGGACATCGAGCGCCCCACGTACACCAACCTCAACCGCCTCATCGGCCAGATCGTGTCGTCCATCACGGCCTCGCTGCGCTTCGACGGTGCCCTCAACGTCGACCTTACTGAGTTCCAGACCAACCTGGTGCCCTACCCGCGCATCCACTTCCCGTTGGCCACGTACGCCCCGGTCATCTCGGCCGAGAAAGCCTATCACGAGCAGCTGTCCGTGTCCGAGATCACCAACGCCTGCTTCGAGCCGGCGAACCAGATGGTGAAGTGCGACCCGCGGCATGGCAAGTACATGGCGTGCTGCATGCTGTACCGCGGAGACGTCGTGCCCAAGGACGTCAACGCGGCCATCGCCGCCATCAAGACCAAGCGCACCATCCAGTTCGTCGACTGGTGCCCCACGGGCTTCAAGGTGGGCATCAACTACCAGCCGCCCACCGCGGTGCCCGGGGGAGACCTGGCCAAGGTGCAGCGCGCCGTCTGCATGCTCAGCAACACGACGGCCATCGCCGAGGCCTGGGCTCGCCTGGACCACAAGTTCGACCTCATGTACGCGAAGCGCGCCTTCGTGCACTGGTACGTGGGCGAGGGCATGGAGGAGGGCGAGTTCTCAGAGGCTCGTGAGGATCTGGCCGCGCTGGAGAAGGATTACGAGGAGGTGGGCGTCGACTCGGTGGATGGCGAGGGCGAGGAGGAAGGAGAGGAGTACTAGAGAGGTGGAGCTCGCATGACGAGCCGGAGGAGGCAAAGGAAAGAAATGCCACATGCCACATTTCTCGGACCGACAGTAAACCTGGCACGAGCGACGTGCCCAGTGGCGCACGTGATCACGTCGCTGTTGTCGGCGCCGCGCCTCCGCGCGGTTTCCGTTGTGCACCGTCGCTCGCCGTATGTCCCGAGTGCCAGGCTGACGTTCGTTAGGCGTGAGAAATTGTCATGTGGCTGTGCTCGACGATGTGAAACGAAGCAAGTGAAATAAAGAGAACCAATCGTTTGTTTGTCTTGTTGCATGCGCGTCCTCCGTTATTTTTCTCGTGGGCATTTTTGGGAAACTGTGGTGATTATTCCCGAATTCGGATTCAGGTCGAGTCCAGGAGTATTTTAAGGACTAGCGAGAAGTACCCGGCATTGCCCGGGCGAGAAAGACACACACACATCGACTTACACACACACAGACATCCACCCACACACACAAACACATTGACCCACAACAAACACGTGGACTCACACATACATAGACTCACACACATCGACCTACACACACACACATATGCACTTACACACACACACATTGACTAACACACACACATGGACTTACGCACACACATACATGGACTCACACACATCGACCTACACACACATACAACAACAACCGCCATTCGCCACTAAGTGGCGGTGACGTCACCACGACGCTTGTGCCAGGCCATGTGCACCTTGAGGCCACGTGAAGTATCGAACGCCCGCTGGCAGGAGGTCACGGGGCAGACCCAGCAGGTGCCACGGGTCGACTGACCGAGATGACCGAGATGACTGGCTGATGCACCACCTGTGCCCCCTACTGTACCAACTTGCTGTGCTTTAGCCACCCGGCGCTCCGCACGTTGTTGTGAGCGTCGCTCCTCCGCCCTCCGTTGTTGTTGGAGGGTGACTGCCTCTAACTGCCGAGTAGCAGAGTCCTCCACGAGCCTCCTCCACAGAGGCCGATCTTGACACCGCTGGTACCAGTCATCAGCAAGTCCACTCAGCTCCACGTCCTCCTGTACCAGGCGCCGCGTGTCTCAGGCGCCATTGACGAACTTCTCGACCGTGAGTTAAACAAAGTTGTTAATAAAACCGTTGTTTTAAAAAAAAACTTTTTAAAGGAGTTTATTAATGTTTTCTCCTACAACATCAGAGTGCAGCGCCACATTAAGTACGCACTACAATGACAATAGTTTAAAGTGATTTGAAGCGTGTTTTATTTTCAAAATGGAAATATGGTTTGGGGGGGGGGGCAGAGCTTGGTGACGTCATATTTGAGGGGGGTCTTACTTTTTGTGACGCCGTGTGACGAGGGGGGGAGGGGGGGTCAATAAACGGCCAAAATCGCGTGACGTCATTTATGGACGGCCCCATACGCAACTGCGCACAATTCTGAGTCGCTTATAACTGGACTTAGACTATTGTCCTATCATCTCATAGAGTCCCTGGCACGTAATAATATGCTACTCAGTGGCAGTGGGGGTCGTAAAATGCCGATTTGTTACTAATACACCCCAATGATCCGATCGAAATGAGGGATTTCGAACGCGTGCGACTTGGTAGGCCCCACCCACCGAACGCGTGTCAGTTGGTAGGGTCGAGCATGCGCGAGCTAATAAATAAATAACCCAAAACAGCACTGAATCGCTAATTAAACTACTTTAGAGGTGACGGACGCGAAATCGGAATAGCGCTGGCTCAGCACGGGGCTTGTGGCGTGGTACCTGGATAGTTCGTTTTAAACCTCGCGGTTTGCGAACCAAATCCCTCACAAGTTTCGGCCACACAGACATAGGCAGACACACAGACACAGACAGACACACAGACAGACAAAAATGCCTTTTGTAGATTTAGTTCGATCTTGATTTGAAGCTTTCGTGACCGCAGGAATCCATACCCTTTGGTTCTTTCGGTAAAGTCCACGTAGGTAGAAAAGAGTAAACATTTAGTTCATCGTTGCATGACTGGCGTTCACGATAAATAATTCTCTGCTGTGACATCACAGAGAAAGCTGTGACGTCAGAGCACTGATCACGCTGTGATGTCATAGTGAACGGTGCACGCTGTGGCCTCGTTGCAAAGCGCGCGCGCCACTGACACGAATGACGTCGTGCGCGTGCGCGACCAGCAGAGGGCACTCGCTGCCAGCTCACGGGAGATGGGGGCCGTCCATAAATGACGTCACGCACCTAGGGGGGAGGGGGGGGTCAGACATTTGTGACGATGTGTGACGAGGGGGGGGGGTTTGAGAAATGTGACGTCACATCAAAATGCGCGACTTTAAATAAATGTAGACAACACGTTCTACTTAATTAAATTGACTTTTTAATAAATGTTTTCTCCTACAACATCAGAGTGCAGCGCCACATTAAATACGCGCTACAATTACAATAGTTTAAAGCGATTTGAAGCATTTTTTATTTTCAAAATGGAAATATGGTATGGGGGGGGGGGGTCTGACTTTTTGTGACGCCGTGTGACCAGGGAGGGGGGGGGGGTAAAAAAAAACGTCCAAAACCGCGTGACGTCATTTATGTACGGCCCCTTAGCAATACAAAATCATAATGCCTAAGTTCCACATTTCTCTCCGGCAGCACCTTCTAAGTCGCGTTGGCTCAATCGCGCGCAGAGTGTGTGGACTGCCGTTCATCGTCCATCGGGCAGAGTGGGGCTTGCTTGAACCCTGCCCGACGTTTGCAGGCGGTTTTCATTCACAAGTTCACGACGGCGGCAGCAGCAGCAGCAAGACGACGAACCTGCAACGGGAGCGCAGGTCGCCCTGGCAGTCAGCCCCCCCCCCCCCTCTTTGTTGGCGATGGGGGTATCGGCCACGTTTTGGTAAAAAAAACGTTGAACGAGACGGCGCCATGGATGTCCGACGTTTCGCTTCGCGTGCCGGCAGCTTTTATTCGGCAAAGTGAAAACACATCGGAGAGCTGTGAAGCACAACCGCGATAAAAAAAAAAACCACGATGCAGTCGGGATAATGTGAATCAGGTGCGGTGTCTGATTTCTGAGGAATGCCTTTGTTTTGTGTGTGTGTGTACTTCGTGCCATCTCATGCGAAGGCAGCAGTCGCATCTGTGAGGGATGGCGATGACTTTGGACGACTCTCGTTCAGCGGTGGGATCGATCAGAAAACCCGCACGAAAGTTTCCCGTTTGCTAAATACAAATTCATGACGAACCCCATTTGAGTCGCTCTGCTGCCCGGGTGACGCTCGGAAGTAGGTTCAAGTGCATTCGGTTGGCACCACATGCGTCATCTCTGGCACAATCCCGCAGTTTGCTGTGTCGGTAAACCGCGCCCTTGATGCGGTGTCAGCGATCTGTCTTCTGTACGATTGGTCCACTCCCAACACGAGAAACTCCGAGGGCAAAAGACAAAGAACCCCCCTTCCCCGTATAGCCTTAACAGACTGTAGGGGCAAGTGCTGTTAGCGAGCACCTATGAAGGTCGGAACGGTACACGAGGGGGTGAGTGGCCAGCACCACGCCCGAACGCCTTTGTCTCCCCAGTGGCGATGTTTACACACCGACTATTAATTTGAGGCTGAGTCGACCTAGGGGAGGCCCAGGACCGGTTCGGATAAACGTCACTGGGTGTTGGCCGTGAGCGGGAATCGAACCGGGTCGCCGGGTTCATAGCGCGGCGTAGCGCTAACCGCTACACTACCGCTCCCCCAACGCGAGAAATTCCGAGGGCAAACACACACACCTGATGATGATTGCTTGTGTTGCAATCGAAAGGTCGTATGCTATTATTTAATTTGTTTTTTCCTTCGACGTGACTTTTCCGAAAGAACCAAAGATTCTTAAACACGGATGGAGGAATCAATGAGTGACGTTCATGGGAACAGTTACCATGGGAGTAGCGATACAAACGTGATCAGGTTGCAGCTGATCGTCGGACTGCTTTATATGAGAACGGGATTACAACTTTGGCCAAATGTGTCTTTGGGTGACTTGTATTAAGAGTATGCTTTGAGGCAGAACTCAGGGCTTTGGTTCACTTGGTGGCTGAAAGTCACTTTACAATCACATTTGGTGGAAAACAGCCAAAATCAAGTTTTTTATTTTTGTATTTTCCATCGATTTCTGCCAACACCATCCCAGAATTCTCTAACTGTGCCCTGCACAAAGCAGGAAAAGTGTGCGTGACCTGAAAATAACGAGGAAAAAAATGGTGGTAGTAGTGCTCACATGATGATGGCAATGATGACGATGATATTGGAAACAACGCTTTCAGCTCCCAATCGTGAAACGAACCAAAGACAGACGCGAACGATGTTGAGGACTCAGTTCAATCGATGATGCAAGTCTGTCTGGGTTGTTGCAGCAGCCTACCTTTCTGCACAAGGTCAGTTAAGGGGAAAATATCTGCCCGTAGTGTTTGCTCATGCGGGGGTATGTTGGCACATTGGCGTATGGCTCACAGCACACGGTATTTATCAATGTCCTCACAAGAGAGGGCATTTTTTGTGAATTGTGCAAAATCACCGACTGTGCGAATTCAAAATTTTCGAACGCACGTCGGCATGTGAACGTGTTCCTACATGAACGCGACGCGCGCTCGGGCAGTCGACGGCATGCCCACGGTGCTGTTGGCTCGACACATCCCCTCGCTGCAGGCACGGGCACGAGCCGCCACTCAATTATCTCCGTTCCGGTGGGGCGTTCCAAGGGTTTCGAGGCTCGGCCGAGCCCGCGAAACAACGTTCGCGACGGTGGTTAACTTTCACAGCTGTCACGAGGGGCGATGATGACCGACGGCCGAGAACAAGGGTTGAGCGCCAACGGAGGGCACGCATCGCCTTGGAGGTCGTTCGCCGAGGGAGACGGAGCGATGAAATTGGCTTGTGTGCGGCTGCTAAGATGGATGTTACATCGCAGCATCGTGGGGAGGATGGGGGGGGTGACAGCTTGGAGAGGCACTCATCCAGCAGTGGATTGATCATGGCTGATGAAGATTTTCTGTCCGGTGGAAACGGATACACTTGAGTCGTCTCGCCTCTTGTCATCTCCCTGGCCGCTTAGCACCGTGGCCACATTGAGGGCTTCGTTCGGTCACATTTATTGTAGTTGTTTCGCACGTTGTAGACTTTAAATATGTTTTTTAATGAAGTCCCCACTGAGACGGGAGGGACACGTGCCAGCAGGACACACGTCTGAGTCTCTTGGATAATGACCCGTGCTGCAGAGAGCACCGTCTGTGGACGGAAACCAGTGCTGCATTAAAATCTGGTGCCAGAGC